CGTGGGTCCCCTATGAGGCCTTCTCCATCCCCTAATAGCCTCACCCAAACCACCGGTTAACATTAAGCAAGGGAGGCAACATGTCTGCTTACTTTAAATGATCGTGAGGCACGCTGTAATCTTCCAACTGAGACTGCAGGCGCAGCACCGTAGTCATTGGGAGTCTGCCTCTGCTGCCCCTCTGTCCTTCTCCACTCACCATTTGTAAGGTGCTGGCCTTCCTCTTCCTGTCACCTGACCGGCTGGCAGGGCTTGAGCCTTAATCCCTACTTGACTGGCCCGCCGTGACTGGAAGGTTCTGGACTTAAAGGGGCCACCCTGTCTCTTAGTAACAGGGTTAGGGTTCCCTGTTACACTCCCACCTCTTAATAGCATTTTCTGCAAGCTGAACATGCCTTTTTATTTCATAGGTTCATAGATGTTAGGGTTGGAAGGAACCTCAACAGATCATCGAGTCCGACCCCCTGCCTAGGCAGGAAAGACTGCTGGGGTCAGATGACCCCAGCCAGATGCTGTTCTTCTAGTTCTAATTTTATTTACCTCTTCTTAAATTTGTATTTTGTATTAACATTAGGTGCGTCTACACCAGTAGCCTAATAACAGAGCACAGTAGTGTGCCTGGCAAAATCCATGCTAATACGCTACTACGCAGTAGTCTTAAGCTACTGCACAGTAAGTGTCACTAAAAACCCATGCACCAGTGCTACTGTGCAGTAGTGCAAGTTCCTGTGCATTGATTTAGTATTTGCTTAACTAAGTACTAAACTTAATGTGCAATAACTATGATGCATTAATGAACATGTAGATGTGCCCACTATTGTGTGATCTTTTCTACTAGAAAGACAAAATAGCTTTCAAATAGTCATAAGAGAATTATTTTTTCTGGGAAGAAACCCTTCTTCCAAAGAACCCCTTCTTTCAATCGTTGTTGGGATTTTGATAGGATTTGAGACAATGACTGATTTTTATATCTGTCTCTCAACAATATGCTTCTATCACAGTTTCTTCTTTTTTGAAATCCTTTATTAATTTAATGAAACTTAAGATGAACAGAAGTCTTTAGAAAAATGACCAAAGTCACATTTTCACTTGAAAGTACTGTAGTTAAATCATTACTAAATCAAAGATTTGATCCTTAACTGCCTCTAATTTGATCCTTATATTATACAGCAAGAGGAAATTGAAACTCCGCTGATGCATTAATTTACCTATTGTTAGTAGACAAGACACTGGGTAGTATCACTTTAATAACATTATATAAAAGTAAAATAAGTAAATATAATGCCATACAAGGCTATAACAAGAAAACATAACTAGTCCTACTCCTAATAATTACTTTTTAGGACCAGATGGTACTTGACTGCTATCTAAGACCTGATCTAAAGCCCAATGACTAAGGTATGGATTTAATTTTAATGCTACAGTTACTGGGTATGCTTTAATTAAGGAGAAAATATAATATCTCATACCATTTTGTAAGCATGTTTTGCCAAGTTGTGATATTTTATATATTTATATATATATTTATATTTGTACAGCACCAGAATAATCCATGTGCCATATTTACTCACATCCAAGATAAGGTATTTTTCTTCATTTAACACAGGGGAGAAAGCCCCCCATCTTGTATTTACGTACAAGGCACACACTGCCCTGTGCCACCCTGGCTCCCAATGTCCTGCCACTACTGCCTCTGCTTT